TTAAAAACTGAAATGAGTTCCATATAAATAAATTTGAAGAACTAAATTGTAATTTCTTTTTCGTATCTCCTCCGTGACATTTCGCATCTAAACATTAAAAAAAAATAAAGTAACAATTTCCATCTATTACTGATAGGGAGTAGTTGTTATATAAATGTATATAATATTACTTAATCAATATGAAAACTTAAACTATATTATTTTTTTAATTTATGTCTCTTAAATTAAAAATAATAGTTATATCTGGCAATGTAAATATGTTAATGAATATTTCGTTTTAACCTATAAACGTTTTTATATGTTTACAGTAATAAATCACATCCTCTAAATTAATTAACTTTGTAGTGGGTATTCCATTTTTTACAAAGTATATTTTATTATTATATCTTAATGACTTCTTATTGACTTATTTTTTTATTCATTATTTAAGGGGTAAAGCTTAAGATTCTCAAAATTCATGGTATACCTTTTATAGTGAAACCAGATTCAAACAATAATATTGTATTTCTTTTAAACACGAATATATAATATTACCAACTCAATTATTTATTTTGTAACTATTAATATTTATAACCTTTCAAGTAATAATAAAACAAATAGTCTACCAATCCTACCATAAATACGAAACACAAAATTTTAAAGTATAACACATATAGATTTTTTTTATTTTTGCCTCAGCTTTCAAATAAATTGTATGATTCATGGAATAGTGTATTTAATTAAAAACAGTAATTGGAACCTTGTTCTTATTCATAAGTACAAATTCTCAACAACAGACTACAGAATATTTTATGTTCATTTATTCAAACAAAAATAAAAATGTTGTGATTTATAAAGCATTCTTATAACTTTATCAAAGATATAAGAATTTCGAGTGATAATAAGACATTTTGTTAACCTTTAGAAAACTAATGTGATTTCCCTAGCGTCATTTAAACTATGTTAGTAAGAACAACAATCGATCTTCTAACACTCATAGTATCTTTGCCTAGGGAATTAAAATAGAGAACGGCCATGAATTTTAACAAATGAAGTTTATTTAATGCACTGACTATTTCTAGTTATTTTTAATTTCTAGAGATTACTTATTATATTATTGCACAACCATTTCGACTTTTTTTACAAAATCATCAATAAAACCTTATAAACTTTTATTAGCTAAAATATATATATAAATGCTATAAATCAAGTTCTGTCATAACTCAACATTTAAATATATTAATTGTACATTTGAAGCTTCCTATTGTTCCAGCATTGTTATAATTCAACCAAGACTGTTGATTAACGACGATGAACAACCATTATTACATTATACAGACTAAATACACATACTTGAATAAATTTGTGTTGCTTTGTGTATCGTACAATATTCAACGATCAAACAGTACAAAACACAACAACTTGCAACATCTCGCCCACATTATTACGATTATTTAATTTAAACTTGATTTGTAAACTACAATTAAGTATACCATTTTTTTATATAATGGATGTATAAAATTAGTGTTGAATTGTACCAAATTTTATCGTTAAAAATTATTGGGAAATTTAACATGACGTTGATGCATTTGCAAATATTAACAATCAAACAGCTCTATTGGTGACTTTCACTTGATCGAAAAAATTTAAAGAAAAAAACTTATTAATTAATTATTTTTAAATTAAAGGAAATTAATTCACAACTATTTTTTTAAAATAAACTCATTAAGTCATTAAGAACTCAAATAAAAAGTTTTTAACAAACTTTTTTGTTGTGTATAAGATTTGTTTGCAATCACATTAATTGTATTGAATTGATTACTTCTTGAAGTTTTATTTTTTGATCTTGACCTTAAATTTTATCACTCTTTAAACAAAGTTACCCGACAGAATGCGTACTGAATGAAATCCACATATTGTCACATACTGTCAACGAAGAACACCACTCAAGGTCATCTCCATCAATTATAACAACTGAAGACGACAATGTGTACAGATCGCATACATGTCCCATTATATTATACTACAGTTGTCGTGCACTGAAAGTGTAATAGACAATCAAAAGATCAACTATCGAAGTTCTTGATTCAATAAACATTAAATAATTATATAAAACGAAAAATATGAAATTAATATAGATGTTTAACTTACATTTATACTTACAATTCTTACAATACTTGCATTTATAATAAAAAGTTCTGAAATTAAATTTTATAATTTAATTATGTTGTTTAATAATATTCAAAAAATTACTTATTAATCTTATAACATCAAAATGGATTGTGAAGTAAAAAATCAAAAAGAAATGCTTGTTGCAAAACGATATTATTTATATATCTATATTATACATACATAAATAGTTTTGTTTTATACTTTGTATAAAATGTATACACTAAGAATTCCGTTTTCAAATAAATTAGTTAAAAATGGCTTTCAGATTTCGAAAAACAAAAACCAGGAATAAACCCTTATTTATTTAAAAAATTTTAATTCCAAAATCTAATTCATATTTAATATATGAAACTTTCTATTTAAAAAAAAATTAAAGTAGATGAGGTTCATATAGACTATTAAACTTTTATTTTTTTGTAATGTCCAGTTTGTGCAACACGTTTTTGAATCAATTTTTGTCTAGGAAACCTTGTAATACCCCAAGTTCTTTAACATTTTTAGGAAACACTAATCATTAGTCAATCAATTTCTTTCGGGTCACATAAATACGTGAATTATAAAATTATAATGGAAAATATATTCAATTTTTTATCATTAAATGCATCCAAAACAATTTTACCATTAGTGTCATTATTCTATTGGAAATTTATGCTACGAGTACTATAAGATAATGAAAACTACAAGGACTTAAAATATTAATAAAAATATTCGTACAAATATATATATTATACAATTATATCATTTTATAAATTATAACTTTTTGATATTATTATATCAAAAAGTGTCAATTTGTCAAATATATTGAGTGCTCTTTCAATAGATACATTTGAAAACATTCTTGAGAGTTTTCTTTGATAAAGTGCAGTATTATTATCATTTGATAATTATTTAAGTAGAATCAATTAATGATATTATTTAAAAAATAATTCAATTGTGAAAATACGACTGCAGTTTGTATGAAATGGGATGCAGTTTAAAATTGCGTCATTCTTAAACAATGTGCGTGTAAGCTTCGATCAAACAGTATACATTTTAATTGATATGAATAACTAATGCACAACAGTCAAGACATAACGTTAAAACGTGACAGCGAATAAATTAGAGCATCGTTTTAGAAATCTTTGTCAAAAAGATTATGTCGTCGTCGTGCATATTCACAATATTCTGAGCACCTTACAAATGTAAGTTTCAAAGAGGATTAACAGACTTCCGAACTGATGCGTTTAGATTGAAAACTGAATAGGAAAAAGCTTTTATCGAGAAGCTCTATAAAAAATCATATTATCTGACATCAATTTTATTCCTAGAGTCAAAAGGCGAATTTGAAAATCAATCAAGTCAACCTCTTATTCATTTGCATTTTATTTACATGTTAATCCAGTCTGGTTATCTGCATAATTTGAGTCGACTAAAGTAGAAAAAATCATTCTTGTAATAATTTTACAACGAAAAATGTACCCCAACCTCTAATATCTAAGAAAACATTTTCCAAGTTGAAATATTTCCAAATAAAATTAAGAAATTGTATTTTAAACAACCTACAAACAGCTTTTTAAATATTAATTTGAGGTTCTTCGTGGGCCTATTTAAATATAAACACTTTCCGGTAAACTTGGTTATTTACATAAATAAAAATTACCACAGCAATGAATTTTATTATTTTTATTACTAATTTAATGAACATCCACTTTTATAATAGAAAATTTGATTGGTAGCAGATAAGTATCTTAACTTTGATCATATGCTTGTATATTAAACGTATAATCATAATTTAAAAAAATATGTTTATCTTATAATAACATTATCAAAGTTATTTCATTAACCATAAAATATAAAATGAAGAGCTGTAATGAACTATTAGTATTATCTTCATATATTATTGTATTTTATTGCATTATTTGTTATAACGAGTTTTTAAATTATTATTTTAGGCGTCAAATAACTAACAAGTCTCTAACTAAACAACGGTCAGGTTTCATTATAATTTTTAGTCGACACGACTACACTGCCATCCTTTCCATATTCGTTCCATAGGGTAGTTTTAACGATATTTTATACTTACAGTCCTACAATGTGAAATCTCCCTAAAAATGTATTCCAAAGAGGCAGCATAACATAATCGGGTGCTTTATGAAAATTAAAAAATTCCATGTACGTGTTTCTACTTGCTTTCATAAAATAAAAATATTAACAATGTTTCATAATATAATTCTTGTCAATGCCATTGTATAATGACATTTTACAGAACATCCAACTCACATTACTAACACTAAATAATTCATAAAGTGTCATTTCAATTTATTGATTTTTGAGTTCAAAAATGTAATTAACCAAAATTCGGAACGTGAGTAAAAAGTAAGTCATGATTGCGTCTCTCAGGCTTATAAATGAATTATAACAATGGGATCCATAGACGTATGGGCAGTAATTAATTAAATAACTAGAATTTCTGTTAACCTCTGAAATAATTAAATGAAAGAAATATTTTTTTGCGTTTAAAATTCTTATATATTTTTGAATGGTTCTTCCTCAGTATTTGATTCAATCGGTAATATACTCACCAGACGGAAAAAAAATATGTTAAAAGAAATCGTTTTCCGAGAACAATCGGCTGCTGTATCAGTTGAAAAACAATTATATCAACCATATACTGACAACGGGGTTGTTTTGTTATTAGCACTGAGTGTGCCTGTAGAGCGAGCCGTTCGGGGTGGAGATTGCAACGGCCGGCTACCGGTTGACACGACGACGTGGATACGTGCGATGGTGCCGGCCGATGGACAGGACAGGTGTTGGAGAGAAGGTCGGCGGCAAACGAGAAATGTTCGTTACAAAACGGTTGCCGCCGCCGAACAGCAGTCGAACGCCGTTCTCAATGCTGATTGCGCGCGCGCGTCCTACGTCGCCGGCAGACCAGTCAATGTGCCTGAAAAAATAACAACAAAATATTAGTCGTGTAATTTATTTTTAGTGTGTGCGAACTCGTTTCTTTTTTTTAGTAGATTTACACAAACGATCCACTGCTTCCTCGTGTCATGTAAGAATTTTTGGTACACAAATTTATTGGTTTTTAAGAGAAAAATAACATATTTTTTTGATCCGAGTGCGCGTGTGCCATAGTAGTGTTCGCAAGAAACTCGTACGTGACGAGGCTGCCATTTGAATTTGGTTTATAATTTATTTCTTAAAATATGGATTATGTTGTTGGCTTATTTCAATCATATTGAAGGTAACTACTCCGCCCTATTGAAATTGAATTTTTTTATTGTATTTCACCCGTGTCTCGTGATCTGATGACATTTAATGATAATGATTCGTGAAAGAATCGGACGTAATTTTCATTACTTTACACCTGAATTTCTGAGCAAATTTATTCCGACTACTACGAAATAACGTTATTTTCTATAGCGGACTGGTTTTTTGCTCTCTTACATGTTATGAAGTTAAATAACCGTTATTTATGTATACACCGTTTGGTCAAATTCGTGGAAAAAGTGTAATCGATGATCAGCTGATAAGCCTCAACGATTTGCATTCAATCGAAACGTTACCTATCCAAATAAATAAATAATAATTTATAATAAATTATACATAATTTGATATTTTTTCATTTGAAACATTTAAGAAGTATTTTCAATTATTCTTCGTCGGATTACGGTAACTACGTATAGCTTAGTAACTAATCATTGATTTAAACATGATAACGTTTAATTTTATTTCAGTAACAAAATTCCAATAAAAAATTTTATATTTAAAATTAACATTTTAAAAGTACAGTATTGTGTTTTTCTATGCCTTCTTTTCTTACACACTAGATTAATTAGTTAAATTTTGTCCAAGTATATAAACAAATTTTAACTGAATCAAGTTATTCTGTACTTGTCATAATTTTGATTTTGTATAAGAGGACGTTTGAATCAGTTACGTAAAATTTCCATGTTACTTGATAAAAAATGTGAATCTGTGATCTTGAGTACTCAAACAAAAATATATTTACATAAATAAAATCATTACCTCTTCAACTCCGATTCTAACCTTTAGTAATAATATTGAAATTATTGCAATATTATATTATAAATATAAATTATTTATATTGTTGCCGTTTTTCATCTAGTTTTAAGAAACCTTTTCATTTATTTTTACTTTTGTACAATTGTGATGTACACCTGTGTCAATTAAAAAAAACATGTGAAATCATTGTGGATCCCAAAACAGTAGAAGAAAATAATTTCTGGTTAATAGATAATAAAATACTGCTGATAATTATTGGCCAAATAAACTCAGAGAATCATGTATGCTAATCATATGCTTTCAAAATTTACGTTCTGTTAACTTTGTATTTACTAGTAACTCGTTAGTGTAAAGGCTATAAATTCTATCTTTGCCATTGGTAGAATGAGGTTAATTTATATTAGACTAATGCATAATGTAATATTTTGTTGAATATTTGTCTGTTAATTTTATACTTTACTAGTAGCTATGTGAAATTTTAATGAAGTGTTGGAAAATAATTTTGTATTTTACAATATTAATAATCTAAATTCCAGTGTATATTTTTATATAATTTTTTGATGAAGCCTGTATTGATTTCTTATCCTGTTTTTCTATCGGTTCATTCGACTTATATTATGTTACATTGTTGATGGTTAAATAGAATTAGTACAGTTTTATCAAATTACAGTAAACATATGTATGAAATAATGTCAACTACAAGTTAGGTCAAACAAGGTTAAATTTTTTTTAATACTTATAACTTTATTGTTAATCGAATGACAACTTTGCTAAGGTGTTCCCTTTTAGATTATATTTTTTAAGTCCATTAAGGACAAAATATTAATGACATTTCACATTTAATCCATTAATTCACTATTTTTATCCAATGCAAGATTTATGAAATATTTATAAATTAATCTCAAGTGAACATTACATTCCTAGCCCAAAACTAATTACTTTAAATACACTATGCGTGAACGAAATAATTTTTAATTAAAAATAACTATAAGGATGAAAATATTTTTTCATACGCGTGTCAAACGTTTTCGAACCTGTCAAAATTACATTAGGCCTCTGTCATAGCAGTGCGTTGTATATTTATTTATATATTATTCTATTAGAGTTAAATTTCGGTTTAGTTAGCGTTGTGATTTAATAATTATATTACAATTTACTCACAATGTAATAATTTCGACGTGATATAGATATTTTCTTTATTGCCATAATGATATTTTTAAAGGATTTGCAGAAAAATTACTTAATTATCACCATAAGTAATTATAATTTTGCTTATAATTTACACAAACGCTTGTGTTATATATGTTATATATTGAGCGATTACTCAAAGTAATTATTTCATTGCAGTTAATCTATTTTAAAGTGATTATTTTCATCATCATTAGTTGCTCAACGTTAAAGTAATTTTTATACTTGTAATTTTGTAAAAGAAAACTTTAAATGTTTTTATTACTTTTATCTTCATAGTTTTTAATGAAAGGTTATTAAAGTGTTGAGTAATCTTGATTCGACCAGTTTAATTTTGAATTGTGTAAATTATGTGAACAATGAAATCAGTTGAATATTTACTGTTAACTACTATTATAAACGAATTATATAAAATGTCTTTATTCCACAGACATAGTAATAACAATAACCAAAATCATTTAAAACACTATTATTAACCTATAAGGTCAGTTACAATATTTTATATTGTAAACAGTGTACAATAAACTGCAACCACCGTTAAATATATGAAGAAAATTAGGCGTGGTAAGTGTGCAGTGTTCCATAAAAACAAACACTTCCATTATCTCAGTATTACTAATAGTAAAAATAAATAGGGATGTATAAAATATGGACTCTCGATATCATTAAATATTTTTTATAATAACCTATTGTTTATTATTTTTAATGCACTTGGGACGAACTAAAATACACAATATGCAGTTATACGATGCAAATCATTCGTCGAGAACATTATAATATATTAAGAATATGTTTTTATTATAGAAAGTGCCTAATTTATTTAATTATTACTATTGTATACCCTCGAACGATGTTTCACTAGGTTATATACTGCGATTAGTTTGATCGATTCTAAGTGGAGAAATCGCATAAAGCTGTACAATTATTTATCTTGAAGTGTGCACGTACATATTATGGTCAAAACAAACATAATCATTAAATGTATACGTTTTCCTAAAATCTTCCATGTAAACAAATCGTACACTTTTCTGACGTTAACCTAATGCGTGCTTACCAAAATTAACCACTTCACATTTTCCTAATTGGGCTGATTTTATAAAAAAATTCTCACTGAAAACATTTAATTTAAAATTATACCCGGGCCTTGTGCTCTTGCTAGTAATTAATGTATATATTAATGCATAATGACTTAAATTAGATATTTTTTCTTCTGTAATTGTAAACGGAATAACCTTGAGAGAGTATACTATATACAATTATTCAAAAATAAATTTATTTTAATACTAACTGACGTATACCATAGTATACCTGTTAAATTTAAATTCCAATTTCCCCATTTAACAACCCGTTCCTTTACATGTACGCTATTTTATTTTATCTTAATTTTTGGTGTTATAAACTAGTTCTAAAAATAAAAAATCACGTTAAACATTATATTAAGTTCATTCGTGTTAAATTCGACATACTTATATTGGTTTTACTGGAATTAAAAAAAAAATGATAAAAATTTGCTATTATTTTAGTATATTTTTAATTCGTGTTCTGTTCATAAAATATTTAATTGAAAAAAAACATTGGATACCTTTAATAGTGTTTACCAAGAATGAATATTTGAATATTAGTATGAAATCAATAACAAAAATATACATTTAAAAATGTATAGACGTGACACTATTTGCTTTTATTAAAACGGGATCGATAAAAAATATTTGACGGAAAATAGATACATCTTGCATAATATATGTGTATATAAAGAGTGCACCTTGAATTATGGTTTCCTCTGGCGTCTGGGAACCTTGAAGATGCGAGAACAGACGAAGGAGATGATGGTTTCTTCATTGTGTTTAGCCACAAAATGTCTTTTAAACAGCGTTTTTTAAGTCTATTAAAAACCCTGTATAGTATAATAATTTTATACGTGTACACTATCGTATAACAATAGTGTTCACCTTGTACCGTAAGCAAGTGCGTAATGATCTCGTGTGTGTCAATGGAATTAATAAACCGAAACTCTGTGTGGGGCCTCTAATCACGTACATTGCTAAATGTAATGATACCTTTAGAGTAATGTAAATGTCGGTTGGAATAGCAATCCATTTCAAATAGAATGCAACGGTCGATGTGCAGAAATACATACGCGGTATCAGTATAGGGCAGACGATGTGATTGGTATTATTCTCTAACTTTTTTTCATCTTCTTTCCACCGCTTCTATGAAAGGAAATCCGGAAATTGTTTTTTCAGTGACCAAATGTATTCAATAGTGATCGTGACGTATACATCTAGCTTTTATAAGTTGTTTAATAATAATGTCCTGCTATAATACACTCATGTGTACTACTGTTAAGTGTGTGGCAGTTGTTGTATGTGCCCTAAATTCCAAACGGGTGCAGTAAAATTGTTCACGAAGAACGACACTGGTCGGGGCACGGCAGTTTCCAGGAAGTAATGTCGTTATCCGTGTGTATGTGCCGTTGCAAATGATCTACACAGTTAATGTTTCATCGATCGTCGGCTTAAATCATACCATTTAACTAGCCTATTATTAAACAGACGCTTTTAATAACATTCAGCACTCAACGATTATCTAACTGTGATCTAAACACATTTTATTAAACGGTTGTAAAAATTTCACGTAATACAATGTGCTGGTACAACAGGGAACAGTTAAGAAGTTGAAAAAAAAATTCTCAGCTTCGCATCGAAGCTAAAAATGAATTTATCGTGAGACAAAAAAACTTTTTTAACAGGCGTTGATTATTGTTAAAATGATGATAATAGTAGTCCGAAAATGATAGTAATATTATCCCGTTATTTTTTAATGAAGTTTTTTATGATAATATGAAGAATATGAAGAGTAATAATAAAAATTATAATTACATACTAACTTTATTTTATGTTAATTTGAGAATATGTAACTTTAACGGAAATCAAACTGTTACTAAGCATAAGAAATATACTTCTCTCCATTTTATATTTCCATATTGTTTTAAAAGAAGAATAAAACAATTTATTGTTTTTTAAACTGTCT